TTTAAATGTGTATTATAATTCCAAGTGATCAGGCACTTAGTAGGCATTCACTAAACACTTGTTATATAAATGACCTCAGTTTACCATGCTAACTATGTAGGTTACTGCTGAAATTATTTTGGCTTCTACTTCAATTTTTCAGGTATTCAAGGGATTTTGCTGAGCTTCTCAGCCTCAATGTGATTAATGAAATTTCTAAGCATGTTAAAATTGGTGCTATCGAGTGTCTTAGGTCTGAAACAAGGGCGTTTTTGATTGAGTATGCTTATGTCTCCTCTGACTGAGGCCAGATGTAACAAATAGACTCTCTTAACATGGTTTAAAGTTTCTGATTGAAGATACTTTGAATTGAACATGTAGGCACATAATAATGTGTTTCATGCACTTAGGCAAGTATTTATGTCCATATTTTAATTTTAAGTTTTGATCTTTAGTTTTCATAAATAAATGGATATGTACAACATTCTTCAGGTTTCTGCTTTGTTTCTATGATGTGGTTCTTTATACATATATAAATATCCCAATTCAATTGTTTCAGTGGCATTTCTCAAGTATCTGTTTTGCTTTTGAAATAATTAGAGTCATGATCATATTTGAATGCATTTTAGATACCAATAACGTATGCCAGAATTTTGAAGATATTGCTGATTAGATTATGTCTTTTTGTTTTTGTATGAAAGATCCCAAAAACTAACTTTTGTATGTCTTTGATGATGAAGGTGTAAACTGTGCCTAGGCAAACCAGGGATGAAGGCTTAGGGAAGAGAACCCATATAATACCTCATTAGGTTATTGTTGTGATAGAGACAAAGCTATGTTTACCCAGACCTTTTACAGTGTAAATGGTCAGCTGACACTGGAGAGATTTGCAGAGATACAGAGGAAAAGCAAAATTATATGCTTTTGCCAGCCATACTCTGATTATGCAACATATTTTGGGAACTGCTGGTTTTGAAACTTCTTCCAGTCCTTGTGGTTAAAAGTTGGAAGATGGTTACCCATTAAAGGTGAATTTGTTTGGCGACAACAAAATCATTTGGAAATAAATATATGGAATAAAATAAGTATAATTTTTCCCTTTGATTTAAACCTGTTTGGGACTAGTAAATAATTAGTTACTTGTCTGGCTCCTAAGGGAGTTCAAAAGTTCAAAGGCAGTTCCATTGACAGCATTGTAGCGTTGATGGAAATAAATATTTGTTGAATTTGCTGAATAGTCAGGTAACCTCCCTAGGTGACAGTTTTGAAGAACAGCAGTCTTTTGAATATTTAAGACTTGATATGTTTGTTTTAAAAACATGTAGTCCGACCAGGCCTAGCATGCCACCAGCAGGGAGTGCCAAACACAGAACTTCGGGAGGTGCTAAAGAGACTGCAGTAGCCCTTGAGATATAGTCGTTATACGCTAGAAGAAGCAGATATTTTAACAAAAGTATTGTAAGTGCTTGTTGACCTTCCTCAGTTTTTTTAAGGGGTTTATATTTTAGAAGTTGGAGACCATGGTTTGGAGAGGCTAGTCCTGGAAGTCATGACTGTTTAAGCATCTCAAGCAGTTGCATCATTTTGGATGCAAAACAGACTTGGGCTCTGTTACGTTATTAACTTTTCCATCAGTTTCGTCATTTGAAGAGTCTACTTTTCAAACCAAGCTCTGGTTACAAGAATCAGAAAAGCACCCAAGTTGGTTCAGAAAATTGGGGTGAGAAGAAAATAGGGCTTATTCAGCAGAAAAAGAAATTCAGCCAGGCCTCATTGGGACTGCAGCCAAAGGACTTCACTGAGGCAAATACTTCCTGGCCTCTTGTCTCTGCCCTTCCCTATATGGCCATATTTTTGTAAAGATGGAGCCTCACTTTGTTGCCCAGGCTGGTCTGAAACTCTTGGCTTCAAGCAATCCTCCCACCTGAGCCTCCCAAATTGCTGAAATTATAGGCATGAGCCACTGTGTCCCCCTGTTTTTTTTTTTTTTTTAAGATGATGAAAGTGTGCTAAAATGGATTGAGGTGATGATTGCACAACTCTATAATTAAATTGTGTACTTCACATGGGTAGATTGTATGTATGTGAATTATATCTTGATAAATCTGTGTGATTCTTTTAAGTCATTGTCTTAAAGTGATGAATGTTAGTGATCTCCATGTAGTGCTAGTGATCCCCTGCCCACCCCTGCTGGTCTTTCCACTGGTTGGTCCATTTCCCTGGAACACTGTGCCTCCCAGTGTTTGCACACAAGTTACTTTCTCACTGAAGTCTAAAATTGCAAACTTGCCTTTGGCTGGCACTTCTTAGCTTGCTCTACTTTTCCTTTTCACCATATTATGTATCACTTCCTAACATAATATATAATTTACTCATTTATTTTGTTAATTGTTTATTGTCACACACACACACACACACATGCGCACGCGCACACACACACCCCCCAAGGTAACATGTAACCTTCATGAAAACAGGTATGAATGTTTTGGTCACTGATGTATCACAAAGGCTTGGAACAGATGCCTAGCATATAGTAGGTGCCAAATTATATAAAACATCTACTTCTAAAATTAACTTCTATCCAAACCATTTACTCCATACTTACATTGTTGCCTGAAATACTTTAAGGAATAAATTAAAAATCATTACTGATTACCAGATATGAAACCCAGTGTTCTTCTCTAGGCTTGTAAAGCATTATTTTAGGGGAAATAAAGGCATCTTTTCATCATTTATTGTTTATTCAGCAAATATTTATAAACCATGTGTAATGCCTTTGCCCTCAGAGGCAGTGTGGACCAGAAGGAAGAGCACTGGTGAGTCCTGAGATCTGGATTCAGACTTCAGTCATGAACCGGCTGCATACTTTTGGCAGATGCATATTTCCTAAGACCTTGGCTGCCCTATTTATACAATTAGTGGTTATACTAGCTCTAACCTTTTATTATCCTACTGCAGGTATTTGATTTCTTTTAACTTTAACATGTAAAAATTATTTTAAAAGCATGTCATTATTCTACAATTTGATTATTTACTATTTGACACTAAAGTACTTAAGATCTTATTTGCCTCTTCCCATACCAACACACACACACACACACACACACACACACACACACACACACACACACACACAGAGGCAGGCATGGCATGTGCATATTTCAAAGGTGCATAATGCTTAAGAGCAGAGTTTGGCCCTACTCTGTAAATGTATTCAGAAAACAATATAACACAGATACTGAAGGCAGCTTGTTTTTAACTTGTAGCTAAACATGACATTCAAATGTTAATTGGATGAATAAATCTTGTTCATTTTACAGACATGGAAATGTCAATGGAATAAAACTATTTATCACACGATAATGGTCTCCTGCCGCCAGATAAATGCCAAGATGAAGATACTTATTGAAAATGTATCAAAATATTCTATTGCTATTTATTGAAAATAAAGGTTGAGGAAAAGTTCAACTTTTAGGTCAAACATGAGAAATGCCCTGCTTATAATATTAGTATATTACTGTATCAAAGATGATATGAATGGTATTGCAATGGGAAAATTCTCAAAAATTATTGTCTGGAAATGAATCTTTCAGCTTTGAGAATTATGGGAATAATTGTATGAGGACTGGAAAAAGATTCCTAATATTTATTGAGCTCTTATTGTGTGCCTGTCACAGTCCTGGGTGCATTCACTAATGTAAGCCTCAAAAGAACCATACTCAGAAAGAATTATTATTCTCATTTTGCAGTTAAAGTTAAAAGCAAAATAATTTGCAGTCATATAGAACTAAGTGCCAATCCCAGGATTTAAACTTAGTCCGGACTCCAAATCTAGTGCTTTTTCCCCAACACCATACATATCTACTTATGCTTGAAGAACACTGAGTTTCATATCTGGTAATCAGCAATGATTTTGGAGCTCTTGAGTAGATTATTTCCCTTAAGCTTTGTTGCCCTTGATGATCAAATACTTCTTTGGTCTAAATATTCAGTATATTGCTGTGTGAAATATCTTTAAGTGGTATCATCCATTAGCCCAAAAAGCACACCTCTAAGTCTTGAGGGCTTTATAGCTCTGAATGGACCAAGCTGTACTGGATTCTAGTATTAAGACGCCTTCTTTTCAGCAGTATATGGTTTGAAATCTTTAGGTGACTTCCTCTTTCTGCTTTCTTTTTAGAACTTAGATACCTATTTTTCTATTTTACTTATCTTGTGTGTATTGTAAGTGCCATAGTGGTCTTCGTAAAATACATCATTTGGGTGGATACAGTTGGATAATTAAAACAACTTTAAGAGCATTATTGTTCAATAAAGCTTTTACTGCCCTCTTCGTGCCAACCCTGTTCTCCTGTCCATTGACCCCAAGAGTCCATTTCTCCACCTGCCATAGACACCAAGTGTTAGTATCTCTCTTCCTTAGACCATCAGTGAACTTTAGTCTTCTTCAGCCAGAGACCACTCTACTATGATATACTTTTCATGGTTTTCTTAGTAGATGATAGGCTCTTTGCTAGGAGAAATTGTGTGTTTTTCTTCTCTCTATTCTCCATGGTAACTGATGAAGTGATTTGGAAATTATAAATACTCCACAAGAATGTGAAAGATGCATGGGTATGGCTTCTTTGTTTTAAGGACTAGAGGAAGTACAAAGGATTCAGAGTATTCATAGTTCACTTTTGTGAATATGGGAGTCTGTTTGTCTGTTCCTTTGCCTGTGCTTGTATCTATCAGTTCTCCCGAAACACATTTGGATTTTATTTATTTTGCAAAATTCCTGGAGGCAATGAATGAGCAGATAATTTAAATGCTAGATGGATACAAAGCTGAGAAGCTTGAATGTTTAAATTTCCCTCAGGAAGAAAATAGTAATTCATATAGCACTCTCTTGATATATAAATAGCATGTGCACTAAAGATCTTTCTAAAAGTCATGATATTCTTCCAGGAGTTTTAGATTGACACCAAGTACCATTGTGTCACATGAATTACTAACTCAGTCTTTACCATGCACTTTCACAGATGGGAGACCTTTAACTCTGAAGGACATATGGGAAGGAGTTCATGAGTGCTATAAGACACGACTGCTACAGGGACCATGGGATACTATTACACAACAGGTTGGAGAGCATTGTCATTTTACTTTATGCATTTTATTGTATTCTTTCCCTCTGCTCATCTTTTCTTTTAGTTCCCTCTCCCCAGCTCTTTTCCCTATTTCACTCCTCTATATCCTTACATATTTCACCTCACAGACAGTTTCCTTAAAAACACCTTCCCAGACCCAGTCTTGGTTTAGCCTCCCTATTATAAGCTCTCATAGTGCCTTATAATTTTCCTTTAGAATATGTATTCCAATTTTAATTACATATTAGAATGATTTTAAAAAATTGATATCTATTTATTCCACCATACAGATACTCTTTCACTTATAGTGGGGATATATCCGGATAAACCCATCGTAAGTTGAAAAGATCTTAAGTAGAAAATACGTTTAATGCACCTAACCTACTGAACATCATAGCTTAGCCTAGCCTACCTTAAATGTGCTCAGGACACTTACATTAGCCTACAGTTGGACAAAATCATCTAACATAGAACGCTTTTTATAATAAAATGTTGAAGAGCTCCATGCGATCTATTAAATACTTTATTGAAAGTGAAAAACAGAATGGTTGTATGTTATCAAGATACGGTTTCTCTTGAAGGTGTATCACTTCTGCACCATTATAAAGTATCAAAATTGTTCAGTTGACCCATCCTAAGTCTGGGATTGTCTGTACTGTGAGCTCTCGCATAGGCAGACCGTGTCTCTTTTATTCTTCATTGTACATGCGGCACCAGCACAGTACTTACCATGTAGTAAGTGCTCAGTAAAAATGTATTAAGCAAATGAAAACAGAAGCTAAGTTGGCTTATATACTAAGAAATAGATGATTAGGCTTATGTAATCTATACTGTTTTACAGTTTTACTCATAGGTGCATTTGCAAAAAAGAGCTTTTGATTAATATGTTTGCAATAGTGATTTAAAAAAGTAGAGAAAATAGATCTGCAAAAGTAGATATAAAAAGTAGATTTGTAAAAGTAGAGAAAATAGATCTGAAATCAAATAAGTCATTATTACTGCCTTGCTAAAATCAGCAGTTATTCTGAAATTTAAAAATACTCATCACCTTGCAACCAATCATGATCTCCTTAAATATAATTTTTACTTATATCAAAAATCTAATTTTTTCCAAGCTCCTGTTAAGCTTAATGAAAGCTTCCTTTAAAAATGACTTTATCAGTTATTAGAATTTTTATGCCCTCTTATGTGTTTGATCGTAATGACAGTTTACCTCCCAATCTACATAATAATCTTCAGCATCTCATAAGTAGTTCTTTAATAATGACCATTTTCTAGGTTTTAATTGAGGACAAAACTAGCTTTAAGTATTTGTATATTTCACACTGCCCCCGCTCCCCCAAATTAATCTTTTCTCTTCCCACTATCAACCTCCTAAATCAAGCCCTGTGACCTCATGTGGAACAATTAGTAAAGCTTCTTATCTATGGTCTTCTGCTCCTTTCCTCTCTGCCCCTTACCTGTAGTCATATCTTTTTAACCACTGCTGCACTTATCTTACCTGTGCTCAAACCTGCAGTAGTTCTCTGAGGGCCTGTGGGATGTGGTCTAAATGCCTTGCCTGGATGTCAGAGGTTGCCACTCCCTGGCTCCAACCTGTTCTTCAAAGTTTATTTTCTTCTCCTCCACTCTACACAGCTCATGTCAAACATGGTTATTCATCTCTCTATACTCCTCTTGTGTAGTTTGTTCTTGGAATTTTTTCTAGATGTGATGCTTTCCCTCATTTTTCTGTATGCATTACCTGTTACTACCTGTGCTCTCATACATTCCCTTCTCTGAAACCACCTCAGCTCCCAAAAATGGCCCCTCTGAAATCCAAGTCTATAGACCAGGCAATGGTGGTTACTATGAAGAAGGGTAATGTGAAATATGAGCAAACCAACCCTAAAGATTTGGCAAGAACATTTTATTTTACGCAACCTATTTTAGATTAACCTTTAAGTATGTCAAGATGAGTGCTAAGAATTCCAACTTCTAGTATCTTGTCAATGGCCACAAACTGTACAAAAATTTATACTGTAGAGTCCTTATACACAGGACCCAGAAACCGTTTGGTTGTAAGAGTCAAGAAAGATGGCAAAAAATACAGGAAAAGAGTATTCAAAAATATATGTGTATTTAACTTTACACCCATTTATCAACTCTTTCTCAATTCCATTTTACTCTTGAATCCAGTTCTTGTCATTTTCGTTTTCTGCCTCTAGCAGAAAATTAATCTCCTCAATGTAGCACCTATATATAGCACCATTTCTAGTGATCTGTGACATTTCATATTTTAATTCTGTGTGTCTCAGTTCTGACTCATGACATAAGAACAAGATTTTGATACAGTGTTGCCGTAGATTTCTTTCCATTGATAGAACTCTTAACATTGTTAAACTCACCACTGAACCATCTGTATATAGATTGTTTTTAATAGAATTGACTAATGTCTTTCATTTTATAGTTATTTGACTGTCACATAGATAGCCTATTACTGTACCATCTTTTTCCTCCCTATCGTAGTATGGTATTACAGATCAAATCATATTATAACAAGCATTACTATTTCTAACGCCAAGGCTGGGGCTGACTTAATAGGAGGGCTGTTTGATAAAACCACACTACAACACAATTATAAAACTTGGGTGATCCTTTGGAATTTGTCTTATTGGGATTTGATCTGTGAACAGATATCCTACTTCTAATAACAATATTTATTTAAGCTTTAGAATTGCTCATCATGGTGCATGTCAAGGCATTAAAGACCAAATAAGGGAAACTCATTTGTAGCTATTGAACTACTTGGCACTTGAAAAGCATCATGAATATTTCCTTTGGAAATCTTGGCTTTTAATCCTGGATTGATTAATAGGTTGGTATTTATATCCTCTTCTTTGCTTGAGATCTTTGAGAGAATGGGTCTTCATTTTTTAGTACCGCATATGAAGAAAAATCAAGGTATCCTCAGTGGGATGGAGGGGGAGAAGATGATACAGCACTAGGGAAGAATGAGCTGATAGAATATTGGTGATGTTGAATAGTAGATACCATTTTGTAGAATTATACTAAGGAATCATTAGCTTGCAGACTGAACATGATAATAATACGCTGTCCTCCAGAGTGGCTTAAAAACAAAAGCAGCCTTTGCATAATATAAAATGCATTTCACTTCATTTTCAGGCCTGATTGTGCTCATATAGTTTGTTGCTCTTCATTTTTAGTAATCACACTTCTGTTCTTTCAGCATTTGTCTTGATGATAAGGACCTATTCATGTCAGACATAAACTCTCTCTTTTGAAGACAAGCCACTCACAAATCTCATACATTTGATTATGGTGATTACTTATCTGCTTTTGTCCAATGTTACAGACTACCTATTATATCAACCCTGTAGCCTAATAAAAAACTTCTGAAAGAAAGTTAACAGATACTTAGGTTGGATCTGCCTTAATTGTTATAGTAAGTGTTACAATAATGATCACTGGAAGGTGTGGGCTCTATGTTTTAAGCAAAGAATTCCTGTGATCTTGGCATGGCCTAAAGTCACAAGATAAAGGAGCATATCTTCAATTAGACTTGAAGATATGTGTGCTTATGTGCAGGGGTATATAGTGATCAGATAAGTAATTTTTTCTTGCTGGATTCTTTTTTTGAACTTTATGTTATGGAAAATGTTAAACACATACAAAAATAGAGATAATTGTATGATGCACTCATTAGCTGATGAAGAGCTTATTTTTTTCCATATCTTATCCATTTAGGAACTTTTTTGAAGCAATTCCTAGCATCATTTTATTTCATCCCTACATATGTAAGTACTTTAAAAGATAAGGGTTCTACTTGAATGTTTATATCAGTTTTATTTATAATAGCTCAAAATGGAAAAAAAAAAAAAAAGACCCAGGTGTCTTCAATGGGTAGATGATGAAACAGAAAGTAGCATGTCATTACCATGGAATTCTATTCAGCAATAAAAAGGAACCAACTACTGATACACTCAGCAACCTGGATGAATCTTCAGAGAATTATGCTGAGTGCAAAGAGGCAATCCCAGAAGTTGCAGAGTGTGTGATTCCATTTCTAGAACTCCTAGAACATTTTTGAAATGACAAAATCATGGACTGAAGAACAGATCTGTGGTTGCCAGGTGATAGGGAGTGTGAATGGGAGGGAAATGAGTGTGCCTATTAAAGGCAACATGAGAGAATCTTATGGCAGTGGGAATGTTCTGGATCTTCACTCAATCAGTGTCAGTATCTTGTTTGTGATACTGTACTATAGTCTTGCAAGATGTTACCATTGGGAAAAACTTGATAAAGGATATGTTACATCCTTTGGTAACTTTTTTTTTAATTTTTATTTTTTATTTTTTATTTTATTTATTTATTTTTTTGAGACAGAGTTTCGCTCTTGTTACCCAGGCTGGAGTGCAATGGCGCAATCTCGGCTCACCGCAACCTCCGCCTCCTGGGTTCAGGCAATTCTCCTGCCTCAGCCTCCTGAGTAGCTGGGATTACAGGCACGTGCCACCATGCCCAGCTAATAATTTTTATTTTTAAAGTAGAGATGGGGGTCTCACTATGTTTCCCCAGCTGATCTTGAACTCCTGGCCTCAAGTGATCCTCCTGTCTTGGCCTTTCACAGTGATGGGATTACAGGCATTAATCATTGCACCTGACCTCTTAATATTAATTTCTTAGAACTAAATATGAATCTATAATTATCTCAAAATATTAATTTAAAAAGGTAAGGACTGAAACATAACCATAATTCTATTATCACAAATAGAATTATTAATAATTTAATATCATTAAATAAATAATCAATGTTTAAATTTCCCAAGTTCATTTTTTTTTTAGTTTGTTTATATCAGGATCCAAAATAAGATTTACACATTAAAATAGTTAACATCTCTTAAGACTTTGGGAATCATAGATTCTCATTCCTCCGTCTCTTTTTTTCCTGGTAATTTTTTGTTGAAGAAACAGGTTGCTTGTTCTGTAGTTT